ACTGGTCTTCCCTCCAGTCTTAAAAAAATTAAACTTCTCCCTCAGCAAATTCTGTATCAATAAAATTGTCACTTTAATCAAATTGATGGATTTCAATTTTTCTAAGTAGTCTATTGAAAGTTCATAATATGCTTCAGCTGTTTTACACAAATCCACCTCATATGTCTAATAACAAAATAGTTGAACATGATTTTCCAGTAAAAAAAATAAAATTCACCTGACTTTCATTTGTTCACCTATATCTGGAGTGATTTAGTTTTTATAACAATTTTTAATTGTTTCACAGTATCTCCACCACAAATGTTAAGCTGATTGGTCAGCGAGCTAGACTTCGGGAAGAGTGCTATCTTGAACAGGAGCATAACATTTGCTCTCTTGCTGTCCCATAATACAATTTAAGGTTTAGAAGATCCTGGCTAGAACCTGTGGTTTCCCCAGGACACTCTGCACTTGAGTGAAATCAACTTTGACTTATTTTTGCCTATTTTTGTTAAACCAATTTCTCAACAGGTGGAAAGTGTTAATTGAGCTGCTTCATTTCAGTCTATCTTCAGATTCTAGCAAGGTATATGTGGCTAAACAGCCTACTTCCATTTGAGGTACATCTTGTAAACTATGTAAAAATCAGCCAGGCATCAGGTCAATACTTTGGGCTGTCTTGTCACAGGGTTTCAGCCTGAAACGTCGACTTTCCTCCTCTGATGCTGTCTGACCTGCTGTGCTTTTTCCAGCCCTTCATTTTAGGAGTAGGACTCTAGCTTCCAGCATTTTCAGTCTTTGTTCTCTCCAAATCAGCCAGTCAAGTTTTAATTTACTCTTAAGGGTAAGGGGGAGGGCCTCCCTCCTTCAGTTGTCCCCCCCAACCAATTTGATTGATTCACTCCATGTGATGTAAAGAAACAGCTGAAGACAATGGACACTGCAGAAGAGCCCTGACAACATTCTAGCAATAGCACTGAAGACTTGTGCTTCAGAACTTGCAAGATTAAGAGCCAAGCTGTTCCAATACAGCTGTAATCAGGGTATCAACAATACAATCTACCTTGAAAATTACCCAGGTACACCTGTATATGAAAAGTGGGACAAATCCAACTTGGCCAATTATCAGCCCATCCATTCACTCTCAAATCATCAGTAAAGTGATGGAAGATGTTGTCAATAATGTTATCAGGTAGTTCCTGCTCAACAATAACATGCTCAGTGTTACTCAGTTTGGGTTCTGCCAGGGTTATGCAGCTCCTGACCTCATTACAGCCTTGGCCAAACACAGACAAAAGGAGGTGAAACGCGTGACTGCCTTTGACCAATTCAGACATCAAGTAGCCCTAGCAAAACTAGAGTCAATGGGAAGTGAGGGAAGTCATTCCTGCCACACAGGAAGATGGTTGTGGTTGGTGGAGGTCAATCATCTCAGCTCCAAGATATTTCTGCAGGAGTCCCTCAGCGTAGTGTTTTAGGCCCAACTATCTTCAGTTGCTTCATCAACAACCTTCTCTCCATCATAATGTCAGAAATGGGATTTTGCCAATGCTTGCACAATGTTTAGCACCATTCACAATTCCTCATAATGAAGTAATCCATGTCCAAATGCAGCAAGAGCTGGATAATATCCAGTCTTGAGCTGAAAAATGGCAAGTGACATTCACAACACACAAATACCAGGCAGTAACTATGTCTAGTAAGAGACAATCTCAACATCCTGGGGCTTACTGTTGACCAGACAGTTGATGGCCCAAGGACCACCTTCTGTGCTGTAGACCTGTGTGGACTCTAAACACCACTACTCACATGCAACTTTTCAAGAACCTGTCCATTAAATGTTTCTATCTCCAAAATGGAGTTAATTTCATAGGCAGGTCAATAATCTCCACTTAAAATTCTTCAAGCTTCAATGTCAGCTAATGTTTGAGGGATTTTATCAAAACGCCCTTTAACAGTCCATTTAAGTAACATCTATATATGTTGCCTGGTCAAAGAAAAAGATCCAATTAGGTATTTAATAGTTAAATACATACATTTACAGCAGTGTTCTGCCATCCCACCACTTT